GATAATCCTGCTGACCGCGGGGATGGTCGTAGGCTTCAAGCTGGCGGTGCACATCCTCGTACTGATTGTGGACATCCTGGCACACCAACTCGAAGCCAGGGCTACAGCTGGATCGGATAGTAACAAACCCGTCGCTCCTCAAGAGGTTGGCCCGGCTGCAGACTCCACTAAAGCTAGCTCTGCCATGCCGCGCTGGCGGGTGCCCTGGGTCGCCTTAATTGCCCTTGGAATCCTTGCTGCGGTCGCCATATTCGCGCCATTCATCGTGCCTCACAATCCACTCGAAGGCTCGCTACAAAACAGGCTCACGCCGCCTTCAGGGGAATTCCTGCTGGGTACCAACAAGGTTGGTTACGACACGCTGAGCAGGTTGATTTACGGCGCAAGGACCGGCCTCGTAGTAGCCCTCATCACCTTGCTGCCGGTAGGCCTGGGTGGGCGAACCCTGGGCATAGTGTCCGGTTTGAGTGGAGGCAAGGTGGAAACGCTAATCATGTGGGCGGAGGACGCGGCGCTGGCATTTCCCAACATAGTTTTCGCATTGTTACTGGCCTCGGCTTCCGGGCCCGGCTGGCTGAGTGTTGTGCTTGCGGTTACGCTGATACTGTGGCCGAAATTCGCCCGCGTCACCCGCGACGAAGTGATGGCCGTCAAGACCAATGGAGGCTTCCACAAACCCCATTTATTTAACGCCCTCGTGGTGTTGCTGACCTTTCATATAGGGCTGGCTATCCTGATGGAAGCAACGTTGAGCTTCTTTGGCATGGGATTATCGCGGCCGACGCCTTCGTGGGGATTGATGGTGGCCGACGGCGGAAATCTGATAATGACAGCATGGTGGGTGTTCACATTCCCCGCCCTGGCGATTACGGTGGTGCCAGTAGGGTTGATGGTTTCCTCTTTCAGGTGGTCGAAGATATAGGACAGGAGCCAATAGCCCATTCCGGATGCGGCGTTGCCTGCGTATAGATCCATTGCCAACCACACCCTTATCGCTTTCGGGAGCGAAAGGCGTAGGGATCAAGAATTAGGAGGGCCGATGTCGAGCCCGGTACAACGCATCGTTTACTACGTAGAAGTATACAGGCATGGCGAAAATTCGCCCGCATCCTATCACCGCCTGCGAGTGGCGGACCATGTAGAGACTGTAAAGGCTCTGTTCAGGGCTGGATTAGGGCCTTTGAAATATTACCCGGCTGAACGAGCCGGCCCAAGCGGGGTAAGCAGAGTAAGTGCCAAAATAAGATGGAGACGCCGTGAGCGCAATGTAGGAGGTAGTCTCGTAGGTTTTTATGGAGGTTATACCAGTGATTACCATTTTCGCAAAGCGGACTACGAGCAAGCCGTTGAATCGCTTTCGGCGGTGGGATTTGTCAAGCTCGACGGAATTTGAGAATCGACTCGATTCTGCTGCTAATGGGGCAGGAGAGCGCCGACGGAGGGATGCCAGCCGCGCCGAACCATCATTGGCTCCCTAGTACTACAACGACGGGTTGTTTGGTAGGATAGTTGCCAAGATGATAGTGGGTGGTTTGGGTGATGGATGGGGCGAGCTTCGAGCGGGTTTACGACAACTTTCAGGACTTTCACGCCTTCTTTGCGGCCTCCTTCGGCCGCAAGCAGTGGCGGGAGCATAGCTGGAACTATCTTCAGGGGCTGCTGGTGCAGGCTGGGGAGCGGCGCAACGCCGAGAACCTGTCGGAATCGGTGGGCATCTCGGCCCGGGCGATGCAGCGTTTTCTGACCGAGGCCCGGTGGGACGATGCGACAGTGATAGGGCGGCTGCAGGAATACCTGGCCCCCAGGCTGGCTCACCCCGAGGCGGTGTGGGTGTTGGACGGCAGCGACTTTCCCAAGCAGGGGAGGAAGTCCGTGGGGGTAGCCCGGCAGTACTGCGGGAGGCTGGGCAAGGTGGCCAACTGCCCGGGTGGGATGTTCCTGGCCTACGTCAGCCCGCTGGGGCGGGCATTGGTGGACAAAGGGCTGTATCTGCCCGAGAGTTGGACCTCGGATCCGGGCCGCTGTGCGGCGGCGGGGGTGCCCGAGGAGCGGCGGAGCTACCGGTCGAAGACGGAGTTGGCCTTGGAACTGCTGGAGCGGGCCCTGGGGTTGGGCCACCTCAGGGCCGGATGGGTTGCCGGAGACGACGCCTTCGGGATGTCGCCGACCTTTCGGGAGGGACTGGCGGCCCTGGGGATGCGCTACGTGCTGGACGTTCCGGGCAGCACTCCGGTCTGGCCCCTGGAGCCTTCGTGGGAGTCGGCCTGGACCACTCCGAGGTCTCAGGGGTTCGGGCGCCCCCGCAAGCCCAGGCTCAGGGACGGGCAGCGTCGTACCATGGAGCAGCGCAGTGACGAGTTGCCGGATGAGGCCTGGCGGGAGATAACGGTGGCCCAGGGAAGCCAGGGGCCGCGGAGCTATATGTTCTGCGCCCAGCGGGTGCGGGTAACCCGAAAGGGCAAGCCGGGCCATGAGGCATGGGCCGTCTACCGCCGGAACCTGGACGGCAGCGAGCCCCGCTACTACCTGTCCAACGCTCCTGAGGACACAACCTTGGAGACCCTGGCCTGCGTGGGGGGTTCCAGGTGGCCCATTGAAACGGAGTTCGAGACGGAGAAGGGCGACGTGGGGCTGGACGAATACGAGACCCGCAGCTGGGCAGGGTGGCATCACCACATAGCCATGTGCCTGCTGGGTGGAGCTTTCCTGCTGGGCCTGCAGCAGGCTTGGGGGGGAAAAAGATGCCCCGGATCACCCGTCCCCAGAGCCTGCCCCCGTGTAGACGGGGGTGTACCGGGTGGTGCGGGAGATGCTGCCCCGGGAACGGTTCGGGCCGGAGGAGTTGCTGCTGTGGCTGGAGGATACGCAGCTACGCAACGAGCGGGCGCGCCGCTCCCACCAGAGACGCCGCTCCGCCCGCCGTGAAGGCAGGATGGAGCCACCACCTTAAACGCGTCGTTGTAGTACTAGAAACCGGGCCGAAAAGCCCTGGTTGGGGAGAGGGATTTCGGCAGTAAAGCCGAGGCGAACAGAATCTTGGACCATAGTTGTCCGAGCCGGACCGCGCCGAAAATGGCGGTCGCATGGGCGACAACATCGTGGGAAACAGCCTGGACATCACTGGGGACGGCACTGAGGACGGCGCGGTGGCGCGGAAGCTCACCGCCGACACTGTCCGACAGCTCGATTTTGCCCGCCACCAGGGTCAGGTTGGCCACCGTGGCCGCCAGATACAGCTGGAATCGCGTCTTGACCCTGCCGAAATAGCGGGACTGGCGAAATCCCCAACTGCACCAGTCGGGCCAACCGGTGTTCCACCGCCACGCGTCGCGCTCGATACTCGTCGTAGGCGGCGCTCCGCTGCAAAGCCCGGGCCTCCTGCAGGAGGCCTTCCTGGGGATGGATCAGCACCCGCCGTCCCTTCCTGCCTTTGGCTGCGATGCACTGGGACCGCAGTGGACATATTCGACATACCGCCCCGTCGAACTGGAAGGCCCGCAAGTGGTGGACCCGCCCCGTGCCATCAGTCCGCTTTCCCGACGGCACGATGGTGTGGGTGACCTGCCCCGCCGGACAGGTGCAACTGCCCGCCGCCAGGTCGATGACAAAGTCATCCTTGGGAAAGTGCTTCCGGTCGGGGCGGCCCGGCACCCGGGCTACCAGCTTGCGGTCCGCATCGGCGAAGGTCTGCCTGGTAGCTCCGTCTCCATAGGCGGCGTCGCCCATGGCCTCCTCCACCGGCACACCGGTGTTGGCCTCGCTCTGTTCCACCAGTTCCAGCGCCCCCAGGTTGTCCGGAGCGTTGCCCGGCAGTACCGCCACGGCGGTGATCAGCTGGGTGTCGGTGTCCACCACAATCGCCGCCTTGTGTCCGTCAAACCGTTTGCTGCTGCTCTTGTGCCCGTGGCGCATCTCCGGGTCGTGCACCGACATCATCCGGTCCCGACTCACCCCGTCCTTGAGGCTCACGCCGTCATCGCCGTCGCCATCGCCGCTCTTGCGCTCAATGTCCTGGAGCAGCAACTGCCCCAGCAACTGCGCCGCGTCCACGATCTGCTGCCGCTCAGCGCTGTCCTCGGGCAACTCCCCCTGGGCCCAGCCGCGATAATTCCAAGAGCCGGTCCGCGTCTCCCACAATCCCAGCCAGCAGCGCCTGCCGCGCCCCCTTGTCCGACCAGTCGATGGCGGCCTCGCCCTTCACACTGGAACCCAGGTACCCCTCATATCCCCGGCCCTTGCCCCATTCTTTGACGCTGGACTTCTCCACGGCCGCCAGCGCCCGCATCAATTTGACGATCCCGTCCGCCAGCAGATTGAAGGTGTCCCTCACCGCGCCCCGCCCCAGGATGTTGGTCGTGTCCAGCGCCACCTTCATGCTCCGCTTTTTCAGGTACCCCGACTCCCGGGCCAGCCGCAGGCTGGACTCGAATACCTCCCGCACCCGGTCGTGCAGGATCAGCTGGGCCCGGAACACCTGCAGCGTGCTCTTGGCGAAGGGCCGGTCCTCCACCTCAATCCCCAGGGCCACTTTCCACCGGAGGTCGAAGTCGGCCCGGGCCTTGGCCTCCGCGTCGCTGACCTTGTCGTGGGTCTGCAACAGCAGGGCCGTCGCCAGCAGGCTGGGCGGCACGCTGTCCCGGCCGTTGTCGGCGCAGTAGAACTCCGCGAAATCCGCGTCCCGGAACAGCCGGCCCCGCTGCGAGGCCAGCAGACCGTAGAAGGTGTCCTTGCCCACGTGATCCAGGTACAGCCGGTCCGCTTCCCAAAGGCCCCTCTGCTCCGATCGCTCTCCCAGCATACTCAGCCCTCGCTATCCTTGTTGACCCCAAGTATAGTCGCTTACCCGGCCACCGCCACTTTCCGGCCAGATTTCTAGGAAAGTCAGGCGCATAGCCCGTGACTGATGCCCGCCCTCGCTGCCTCTGACTGCTCCTCTTTCTCACACAGAATAGCGCCGAATTACATTGAAAGCCCGGCCCGGTTGCCCTACGATTGACACTATGCTGCTCACAATCTCCACTACGCATCAACCTGCCACCGACCTGGGGTACCTGGTGCACAAAAACCCGGGTCGGTTACAGTCGTTTAAACTCCCGTTCGGGCAGGGTGATGTCTTCTATCCCGAAGCGGAGCGCGACCGATGTACCGTAGCGCTTCTGCTGAACATTGACCCGGTGGGCCTGGTACGCCCGAAGCGCGGCGCGCCCAGTTCCGGCGGTTGGCTGGAGCAATACGTGAACGACCGGCCCTACGTGGCGTCATCCCACCTGAGTGTGGCAATTGCCTCCGTATTCGGCAGCGCCCTCGCCGGTACGAGCCGGGAGCGCCCGGAGTTGGTAGATATGGCCATTCCGCTGGAGGCCCGAGTCGCAGCGGTTCCGTCCAGAGAAGGAGCGGACCTAATCCAGAGCCTTTTTGAGCCGCTGGGCTACACTGTTGATATCCAGGGACACCCGCTGGATACGCGCTTTCCCGAGTGGGGTAACAGCCCCTACTTCAGCGTGGGCCTTACGTCGGAAACCCGGCTCCGGGACCTGCTGGCCCACCTGTATGTGCTGCTGCCGGTGCTGGACGACAACAAGCATTACTGGGTCGGCGACGATGAGGTAGACAAGCTGCTACGCTTCGGCGAGGGGTGGTTGGATAGCCATCCGCAGCGGGACCTCATTTCGTACCGCTACCTGAAGCATCAGCGCGGGCTCGTGAACCAGGCGCTAGCCCAATTGCTGGACGCCGGACCTTCGGACCCGGGTAACACCGCAGCGCGGCAGGAACAAGAAGAGGAACGGCTGGAGGCCCCAGTTCGACTGGGGGAGCAGCGCATGCAGGCGGTGCTGGCCACGCTCCGCATGCTCGGGGCGACCAGGGTGCTGGACCTCGGTTGCGGGGAAGGAAGGCTTATTGGCGAGTTGCTTGGAGAGCCGGCGATTCGTTCGGTGACCGGCCTGGACGTCTCACATCGGGCGTTAGAAACGGCGCGCCTGCGCCTGCATATTGATACCCTGCCCACCCAGCAGCGGGAGCGCATCACCTTGCTGCACGGTTCCCTCACCTATAGAGACCAGCGGCTGTCCGGCTATGACGCCGCGGTGGCAATGGAGGTGATCGAGCACATAGACGCCCCAAGACTTGACGCCTTTGAGGAGGTCGTATTCGGGTCCGCAAAGCCCGGCGCGGTGCTGATCACGACGCCCAATGCAGAGTACAACACCCTCTTCGGGGGACTGCCCGACGGAGAGTTCCGGCACCGGGACCACCGGTTCGAATGGACGCGGGGACAGTTCCAGGCCTGGGCGAGACAAACAGCGTACCGCCGCAAGTACGCTGTACGCTTCGAGGACATCGGCCCCGAGCACCCCGCATACGGCGCCCCGACTCAGATGGGGGGTCTTACCCAATGAAGATTACCGTTCCTGAACTGTGCCTGGTGGCGCTCATTGGCCCAACGGGATCGGGGAAGTCCTCTTTTGCCGCCAGCCACTTCAAGCCCACGGAAGTGGTGTCTTCGGACGTCTGCCGGGCGACGGTGGCGGATGACGCCACTGACCAGGCCGCAACGCCCGACGCCTTTGCCCTGGTCAACTTCATTGCGGCCACGCGCCTGAGAGCCGGACGCCTTACCGTCATTGACGCCACCAGCGTACAGCCGGAGGCCCGCAAGACCCTGGTGGCACTGGCCAGGGAACATGACTGCCTGCCGGTGGCCATCGTGCTGAATATGCCGGAGTCTCTGTGCCTGGCCCGCAATAAAGACCGCCCCGACCGTCAGTTTGGCCCGCAGGTGGTGCGCCGACAGGCGGAACAGCTCCGGAGGTCGCTGCGCGGGCTGAAACGCGAGGGCTTCCGGCACGTGTTCGTGCTCGACTCTCCCGAGGAGGTGGAAGCGGCCGCCGTTGAACGCGTACCCTTGTGGGTCAACCTCCAGCACGAGCACGGACCCTTTGACATTATCGGTGACGTGCATGGGTGTTACGACGAACTGGCCATCCTCCTCGAGCGCCTCGGCTACCAACTGGAGACCCCCGAAGGCGCTGACGGGGAAACCGGCTTTTCGGCAACCCATCCGGAAGGCCGGAAAGCCGTATTCGTAGGCGACCTCGTGGACCGGGGCCCGGGCGTAGCCAAAGTGCTAAAGCTGGTGATGGACATGGAGGCCCAGGGCTCGGCACTGTGCGTCGCTGGCAACCACGAGTCCAAGCTCTCCCGCAAGCTCCGGGGCCGGAATGTACAGGTGTCGCACGGTCTGGCGGAATCCCTGGCTCAACTGGAACTGGAGTCCCCGGCGTTCCGGCAACGGGTTGACCAGTTCCTCGACGGACTGATCAGCCACTATGTACTTGATGATGGCGGGCTGGTGGTGGCCCACGCAGGGATGAAGACGGAATATCAGGGCCGGGCGTCCGCGCGGGTCCGTGACTTCTGCCTGTATGGCGAGACCACTGGAGAGACCGACGAGTTCGGTCTACCAGTGCGCTCCAACTGGGCTGCCGATTACCGGGGCCGGGCGATGGTGGTCTACGGTCATACCCCGGTGGTGGAACCTGCCTGGCTCAATGGTACCATCAACGTAGATACAGGCTGTGTCTTTGGCGGCAAGCTGACCGCCCTCCGCTATCCGGAAAAAGAGCTGGTATCGGTTCCGGCGGCGCGGGTCTACTATGAGCCGGCCAAACCTTTGGTTGAGGCCGCCCGACTGGAAGACTCCTCCGCGCCGGGCGAGGCTCGCGCGGCGAACCTCCTCGACATTGACGACGTGCTGGGGAAACGTATCGTAGCGACAAGGCTTCGCGGCAATGTCACGGTCCGGGAGGAGAATGCCGCGGCGGCCCTGGAAGTGATGAGCCGTTTTGCCCTGGACCCCCGCTGGCTGGTGTACCTGCCACCCACCATATCCCCATGCGACAGCTCAAGACTGCCCGATATGCTGGAGCATCCAGCGGAGGTATTTACCTACTTCCGCAATAGCGGTGTGTCCAGCGTGGTCTGCGAGGAAAAACACATGGGTTCGCGGGCCATCGTCGTGGCAGGGCGGGACGCCGCAGCCATCGAGCGGCGGTTCGGCATCACCGGCGAGGGGATTGGGGCTTGCTACACGCGGACGGGAAGAAGGTTCTTTGAAGACCGCGCCCTAGAGGCGGAATTTCTGGAACGGGTCGGCTCGGCGCTGGCCGACGCGGGTCTTTGGGATGAACTGGGGACCGACTGGGTGGTGCTGGACAGTGAACTCATGCCGTGGTCCGTCAAGGCGCAGGAACTGCTCCGCGAACAGTATGCGGCGGTGGGCGCAGCGGCGCGGACCAGCCTCACGGCGGCGGACGCGCTCCTTCGGCAGACGGCAGCGCGGGGTATTGACGTCGGCGAGAGCCTGGTCGGAGTCGAAGAGAGGCTGCGCCTGGCCCAACTCTACAGCGATGCCTATGCCCGGTACTGCTGGCCGGTGACGTCGCTGGACGACATCCGGCTGGCGCCGTTCCACCTCCTGGCCAGCGAGGGGCAGATGCATACCGATAGGGCCCATCTTTGGCACATGGACGTGGCCAAGCGCCTGAGCCAGGGCTGACCCCGGGTTGTTCCAGGCTACCAGGAATCAGGTAGTGGACCTGAACGCCCCGGACGAGCTTGAGGCCATAGGCTGGTGGGACGAACTGACGGGCAGGGGCGGGGAGGGTATGGTCGTAAAGCCGATGGACTTTATCGCCACGGGAAAGCGGGGCCTGGTGCAGCCCGCCATGAAGTGCCGGGGCGCCGCATACCTGCGCATCATCTACGGGCCGGAGTACACCCTGCCGGAGAACTTGGAACGCCTGCGAAAGCGCGGCCTCGCCACGAAGCGGTCGCTGGCGCTTCGGGAGTTTGCATTGGGTGTAGAGGGTCTCAGGCGTTTTGTCGACGGAGAGCCTCTCTACCGGGTACATGAGTGCGCCTTCGCTGTGCTTGCCCTGGAAAGCGAGCCGGTTGACCCCAGGCTGTGATGAGCAACACGGCGAGTTGGACAGCTGGGGTGAGTGGAACCGCGATGCCGCCAGTTTCAGTCGTCCATCACCGGAATTTAAGAATATTACCATATCGCTCTGGTTTGAAGACCCGGCTAAAGCGCAGGGGGAGGCGGCCGGACTGGCACGAAAGTTTTAGACAATTGAGCCCGCGGAGCCTCAGCCCACGGGATTTATTCAGGCTTTGTGCAGGGAGTACAGGAAGACGGAAGTCCTGAGATATCACCAAGGGAGCGGTCTTGGCGGTTTCCTGGCACTTTCTTCCAGCTTGAATTAGGGCCACCCTGCGAGGGGCTGGGTGTCCTGATGGGGAATATCCTCAACGATAGGACTTTGTCCTACCTGGTTAGTTAACTTGGGAATAGACTTGTAAGCAATGGGATGGCGTAGCCCTTGCACAAAAGAGACCTATCTCAATAAGCTACCCTAGGTGGAGCTCGATAAAATGACTGGCAAAGGACGGGCCCTGGTGTTTATCTCTATTGCAGGAGCAGTACTTGTTCCTGGAATCGTATTGGCTTTCGTGTTCCTTCATTTTTGGTTTGCCTTGTTCGCCTCAATGTTCGTGGCGTTAGCGATTTTTGGTATGGTGTTTGGCAGCCGAAGCCCTAGACGGGACAGATTGAACCAATTGGAGGCTGAAGCGGCGAAAAAAGGCGACATGTCGTTCTCTATCAACCCGCGACGCCCTTGGTAATTTGCTGACTAACGAATATTCTTCAACTGTCGGCCCAGGTAATAGGCCGATGAAACCTTACTAGTGTCCCATTCACTACATCTATCCTGACCTTCTTATGTCCTTTCAGCCGGAGTTCCCTTACCCGGATTCTATTTCTCTACCTCCATTTCTACAACAATTGCAGTTGCCCGTGATCTGGTTAGTGCCGATAGGACGGGGCAGCATTGCTGCACATACCCCAGTCCAATACGGACCAGGAAGCCGAGGGGGAACAGTCCTGTACATCAGCCATGCGGCTTCGGATGCCCTGCAGGCGATTATGCCCACGGACGAAGTAACGGGCCCCGAGGCACCGGTCTTTGGATTATCCACCAGGCAAATCGGCCGGGGAGTGTACGATGCAGCTAAGGCCGTGGGCCGAGGAGAAGGCTTCACCCGAGACAGCGACCGAGGCGGCATGGCCCAGACTTGGCAGTCACTTGTGTAGAACAACCGGCGCTGATGACGGCAGGCCGTTGGAAGTCTTCCCTGATGCCGGCGCGCTACACCGAGGGCCAGACCGGCTCAAAGAATGTGGGAAATTACGTGTGGTTTCCCATGTCGCCATCAATAGGGTTGTTCCTAACATCTGAGGGCCTTACAGGCCAGATACTAAACCAAAGCCAAGATGGAATGTGCATTTGCCGGAGGCGAAGAATCGTGCCGGGAATCTGGCAGGAGTGCTTCGGCCCTTGACTGCAGTACCGTCCGGCAGCGGCGCCTAACCTCGTCTCTCCGGCTGGCCAGACCGGCCAGGAAGTTGCCGACCCTCTCCTGCACCGCAGCCCTGCTCCCCAGGCACAGATTGCCGGTGGCCTCCTCTCTGGTCCAGCCCCAGATGGCCTCATCAGCGTTGAAGTCCGGGCTGTAGCCCGGCAGTTCACCAACCGCAGCCCAGCCCAGCGTCCGAGGTACTCCCGCATCGCCTCGTCCACGATGGGCCGGCGCGTTGTCCCAGAATGACCCATCGGCCCCGGATGCCTTTCTCTCAGTTGTTCCAGAAGGCAACCCGAGGTCCCACTGTTGCTGTTGCCCTCAGTTCCATCCATTCCACCTCGCCCTCTCCAGGCACACCGCCGAATAGTAGCTGGCCTTCTCCCCATCTACCGCGGCTGGGTCGAGTCCACCAAAGCAGGTTTGCCCTTCAGCACCCACTTGCCCGCAGTTCGCATCGCCCGGAAGTGAGCCTCATCAGCAACAGAATATCCTGGCCCTGGTCTGCTGGGTCTCCTCTCTCAGGGCGGCGTACTCCGCCACGAAGCCTCCCGCTGCTTCATCCCCTTGAGCAGGCGTTTCTTGGGACGCTTGGAAGGCAAAGCCGCCAGCCGGGCAGCCAGTTCAGGCAGATGCTGCGGCTCAACTGCAATGCCGAACGGTCCCGTGTCAAACCGCCGCACGCCTTCACAATACCAGTTTGGCCCGATCGATGCCACGAGCGCCGGCGGCTTCCTGTACCGCGCTGCCTTTCTCACACCTCCATGCTGCGCTGATCAAGGGCGAACCGCCGGACTGCTCGACTAGCAGGCGCCGCAGGTCCTCCCTCGACTCGAAGCCCGACGCCCAACGGCCACTAGTGTGGGGAGCCCTTTACAGAGTACTGCGCCGTGGCCGCCGCGCTCCAGCCTGGCCAGCAGACAGCATGGCGTACACCTCTCCGCTCGCGGGTGCGGTCGGCGCCATGATAATCGGACGGCGCAAGTCCTTGACTCCATATGCCATTGTTCAGAGACGTCTATCTCCCTCACGCCCATC